ATTAAAAAAATATTTTGAACATCAGCCAGCTGAAAATATATTTATCTAGTAAATCATCTCTCAAAGCTTTTATATATTTTAATTATTCTAACTAAACATTGTATCCTTAAAAAACAAGTTCATAAAAATGTAGAAATGAAATTGTGGAATAAGATTACTGGGAGATACATATATACACACACATTCAATGCATACACAGAATTACAAGGGGGTCTGTTTGTCTGTTTCTCGGTTTGGCAGGTTGCTGGACAAACGGAACTAGCAAGCAATACTCAACTCCTGAGTTCCTCAACCAAGATAACCATAGGCTAATTTTTTAATTGTATTTTTTATCTCTTTTTTGTTTTTTTATACACAAGATATTCCATGTAAAGCAGCAACAGCAGTGCAGTTACTGGTAGCAACATCTCAAAAAGTAATAAAAAACCCCATACATCCAGACAGTAGTACATTGCACGCACACGTGATTCCCATACACCCATCAACAATTGGTCAGAGTATTAAATCAGTGTACAAATTAAATATTTCCAAAAATGTGCAAAAAAGTCAACGTTGATAGAAAAAAACACCTTTGTGTACATACATTACAAACTGTGCCCAGCATTCAACTGAGAGTAAAAACATTTACAGTGAGAAACTGATAGATTAAATAGAGAATTTAATGGCTACATTAAAATGTACATTAGATCAAGAGAAAATTTACAAATTTTTATTCATAGCTTCATGAAAACTAAAAGCCTACGTTCCAATTCATCTAAGTCTCCTCCATGTATTTACAGTGATACTCCATTACATGACTCCTGCGAGGCCTGAGATGACAGACACTAGGCTTTAATAAACTGTTCCAATTTTAGGAGGACACCACCTTTTTTACTGATATTAATGAGAAACAAACACTACGGAACTGACAATCTTATGCCTGTTCGGAAAACAAAATGCAATCCTTGGTTTTAAATCCACATTATATAACCTCTGGGAAAAAGGATAATCTAGTTTTGGGCAGAAAGACATGAAAAACCTCTGAAATATTTCCTGTGACTATGCACTCTGGAGTTAAGAGTATCCTTTTCCTTCTCTGTCTCTCCAGAAGACCCTGACCTCCAATCCTCATCGGTGGCCTAAATTTAAGGGCTGAACTGTAAGATAAAATTTTAATTTGTTTTTATCCAGTTCCTCTCCCTTTAAAATAAATTTATAAAAACTAGGACCTAGACGAAGCGTGCCTGCTAGCATCGGTGCCCTGACACGTGAGGAAGCTCATTTACTCCACCCCACTGACCCCTCAAGCACACATATATGTATATTGCCAGGGAAAACTCAAGGGTTACTCCAGCAAGCAGGAAGCTGCAGCAACCTGGATTCAAGTGACAGGGCCCTGGTATAAAGCTGTGCATGAACTCGCACCTTATTCAGGAGCTGTGGGTGGCCACCACCTATGCAGTACCGAAGTTACGCCAACTAGAGAAAAAACCCATGCAAACCAAGTGGGGGGAATAAAGAGAGAAAGGAGCTCCTTTGGTTCTGATTGAGGACTTTGATTCAGAAACCCTGGGTCGGTGGCATTTCTGCCTGCCCCCACTGGTGTGCATTTGTGGCTCCTCCTGAAGGCAGCATTGACACCCAGGTAGCTGTGGGTGACATGTTGCCATAAGGTCAAACAGACTGCTCCCCAGTAGCTCTGAAATGTTCTCACTATAGTACATGGAGCAGCTCGGGTCACAAATCTGCTTATCTTTGTGGTGTGCCTTGAATCTCCCAAAGCTCAGACCCGGTTGCAAAAGTCACCAGGTCTAGTCACCAAGCTTATGCACGGATTTTAAAATTACAAGACTAAGAGTTTTAAAAAGAAAACTCTTCATTTTAATGCTGGCATGAATTTTGCACATCAAAACAGTGACTACAAACACCCAAATCTCTTAAATATGGGCAGTGTCTATCACTTTTTACTAGTACCTGCTTTAATCAGCAGTAGCTTTCTGATGGATATACATGTATCTCTAAGTAACAGTACTAATTCATGAAACATCACTTCTGGCTATATGTATACGGGGATAGAAAAGCTTTGGTAATTGTATGTGATTTTACACTGCAGACTTGTTATTGACACAAGACAGCAAGTTACCAGCAAGAAGAAATGATACTGGCAGTAATACTTCTGCTTTTCCAGAAACACCATAGGGACTTACATTCAAGCACACACATTATGCTCTTCTATATGCGTGACAAAGACTTTCAAGATTGAAAAAGTAAGAAATCAGTTATAAATAACTGTAGATCTGACCAATTTGCTCAAGCGGCAGTTAGACATTGCTCTGTGTTGTCCCAAAGAATGGCTTGCTGTACTGCACTGTACCTACAGCTGCTACAAAGTTTTCAGTCAAGACAACGGCAGGTTAGATTTACCCAAAAGGCACAGGAAAGAATGTCATGGGCATGGTGGTAGCCTCAGAAAAATCTGATTTGCTAGACACATTATATCTTGTGTGTTGAAAGTAAACAGCTTTTAATTCAGTACCACGTTTACAAATGTACCAACTATAACTCCAAGTCTGTTATGAATGCTGCTGCAATCTCTAAAGTAAACCCAGAGTCTAGTACCCAGAGCTAGGAAGCTAAATCTTGGCTCTAACAGTATTTCTGTGAGTGCAGAAAAGTCCCTTTTCTGATATGTGCATCAGTGTACAATCTCCAACCACAAATACAAAACCTGTATTAGCACAGGAAGCCCTCAGGAAGTGCTCAAAAAATCACTTTTTAAAGTTCTGAATGTAAACGTGTGCCGCAGGTTCTAACTAAAGCACACTTTTCAATGTAGTCAGGCAAATTCTGGTTTGGGTACTTTGCGAAAAAGTGCCCATATTCTAAGACTCTTTGGTGACACGGAATTGTATGACATATTTCAATATGGTGTTCAAATATGAACAAAATTAAGGCATACAAATAAAAAGGCACTAGCTAAAAAAAGAAAAAAACAACAAAGACATTTTTGTGTTGTTACACTGAAAGGACTGTTTAGCTACAAATCAAATTGTAACTCCAAATTTTAAGACTAAAACTGACAAGGAAAAAAAGCCTAGGCCAATTTACCTTTGCAGTTACTGGATCCATACCTTTTTATGTCCCCACGCGGATATTTCTATCACGCAGATTAAAAATACACAACTGAAATTTTCAGTTGCACTTTAACAGGTCTGTTAGTCACACCATTAAGAAGCAGTTCAACTGTTGTTACTTAATACATGCAACAGACAGAATAATAAAATTCTTTGGCCAATAAGTAAGTGTTGAAGATACGCATACTCACTGGGAACCTCGGTCCTTCTTGACTGAAAGAACCGCTTCATCGTGGCACTTACAGGAAAGCAAAACACCCTGCAATGGGATTGTTTTCACTGGCATTTTCTAGTCATTGGATCCAACATTAAGAATAATTCACGATTCTAAAATGCTGGTATCTTTGTTAGTAAGATACAAGAAGGTGCGAACAGGGATTTAAACTGGAAGTTTAAATATGGAGTTCCATGCGCCCTCTCAAGTTCTCTCAGGCTCTAGAACTAGCGTTTGTTCATTATCAGTAGCCAACGTAAGTGTTCTACAGACATTGTATACAGAGGTACTACAGATTCTTTTACCGCATTACCACAGTAAGGGATGCATACTAGGCTAGCCTTTTGCTAAAAGTCTGATTTAGATTCGTAATTATTTCTAGCTCAAAATATTTATGTTAATATCTATCTAATATACTGTAAGTTGCTTAACAAGCAGACAAAGTCTCCATAGGGTGAAAAAAACAACAGCTCAAGCCTAATCTTGGTTAAATTAATAAAATTTTACTAGAATCACTTTAACTGGCAAATAGCATCTTCATTTAAGAAGCATTCTATGTTGGCAGCTTTCTGATGCGGCAAAGAAATGAAGGAAAATGCCTTCAGGCAATTCCCTTTTTCCTGGCTCCAAAATGCTTACCGTTGTCATGACTGAATGCCATTTTTTTCAAAAAGGCACAAAAGCAGCAAACTTGATTATTCAGTAATTAAAAAATCCCAACAAGAAAGTGATATTGCAATATACATGAGCCAGCACTGCCTCACAAAAAGGACACATTATAAGAAAACTAGATTCTGAAAACTGTCAAGCTTCAGAGAGTGCAGTTTCATTTTAGAATAGTATATTTAAATGTTATGAATGCTACAGATAAACCTGGTTACATTTTCCCTTTAATGTCCTTTTTGGTAATAGAAAATTTCCTTACCTTTTCAGGTATCACTGTCCAATACTGATTTTTATATACATTTTTCATCTTGGTTTTGGTACCTTCTTTATCTGTTTGAAACCAATCATTTTGATGATATGATATTTAAATTACCTACATAAACTATTATGCTCTACATCCCTGCTGTCACTAAATTTTGCTTATAAAGCAAAAGTCCTTTACAGCAGAGTACATATCAATTCTCAAAAGCTGCTTCCATAGTTTTGATCTAGTGACAGAGAAGTGACTAAAAAAATGTCAGTACAAACTGACTTTCTTTTTTTCTTTCAGTCTTCTAAACCTTCCCTGGCTTGGCTAGTTCTTCCCATGCTCAGAAAACCTTGCACAGTTGTGTACCTTGACTGAGAAAATTCTAAGTGCTGGGCAAAATACTCATATAAACCAAAGAAGCCACTGCCCTCAGTCACAGGAGAGATGACAGACTCAAAAGAAGTCATTCTTGCTCCACTGCAGGTAAAAGTGATTAGGATAAAGCCATACTCCTGCTTATGCTCCGATAAAAAATTTGGAAGTTAGCAGCATAAATGTGGAAATCTCATGAGTGAGCTACCATGGGAATGGGTAAGCTGCTTCTTCTGTCTCCATGCACTTCATAATTCCGATAGTCCTCTAAAGATACAAAACAGGTAGAACCTTGTCAGCATGGATATGGTTCACAGTACCAACCTGCTCTGCCTTCACTAAACAACAAAGGCAAGTAATGAATCATTCAAAACAGTATACAGTATTTCAGTTCTGTAGTCCAACAGTTTATTTCCAAATACCCTTTAAATTATTTGTGTTGTGTTCTTCTACAAAGCTATGGGAGTTCGACTTCTCTGTTTTGAAAAGTCAGTCATTCTACACCTGATCAGTACCTGGACTTCTCAACTGAGAAGCAGTATTTCAGAGTTTTCCTTTTGTTCTTTTATTATACTCTTTCAGCAATGGAAAAAGTGATTAACGTATGTTTTATGACAGCTGGAAATCCGACAAACACCAATCATCTGGATTATCAGGCTGGAGTAATCACATATGTTATTTAGCTGCTGGCCCTCTTTGCACATTTGGATTATTCTTCATACAGTCTTTTGTGCTCTGCCTCCTTATTTATGTGGATTCAACATTGCAACCTTATTAAAAATGTAAATGGAGTGTTGTCTTTCTCAGTGATTTCTTCCTGGCATTAAAGATGTTTAATTATTTCAGGAATTTTCAACACATCCCAGATGACTGAACTGTGTTACTAGAACAGGTTTTTTAGTGCATAATGGGGAGAATTTTGTATTATTCAGGCACTTGATGTTGACATACATTCCATCCTAGTGCCTCTCAACAGCTTTGAAAACATTTCTTATAGATCATTCTGACTCAAGTAACTCATATACTGCACAAGGATTAGTCACTCCCCCTCCAGCTATTCATGGGACTGGGGAGGAGAACTGATTCTCAACATCAATGTTATTCCTTACCTAAGATAACCGTTGCCCTCCAAGCTTATGCAACAGAGGTTCTCTTTGGCAGATACAGCAGGAGGCATTCTCCTAATTATTTACATCCAACAGCTTACCCTTGTCTATTATGGAAATTTCCCCCTTGCAGTATAGTAGTTCTGAGGAGTCTGGTTCTATAATCTGTTTGCCTGTAGTTATTTTCCTATTAAGAAAATGCAATAGTTCTACACCGAAACCTCAAACTAGTACATCAGTGTTGAGTTCTTTTTTGTTATTTTCTTTTGGTCACATAGAAGTACCGATTAGACACACTGGTGTACAAAGAGTTCCAAGTTCTAGCTTTATCATTAACTCTCAGAACTGCACGTTCCAACTTAAATTGTAAAATCCAGAAACTGATTAAACTGCTAAAATATAAGAACTTAGAACTCTCTGCCACAAAAGTACCTACAATGTAAAGAAGAATCACAGAGAAGTAACCTTCTGTCCTTTAGCTGCATGTCTGTTTTTCCCTGCACCCTGAGTCAGTCAGTGGTGTCAGAAAAAGTCACACAGTTCCTGACTGTCCAAGCATTTGTCTTCTTTTTTTTCCTCGTTAAATAAGGAACAAATATGTACTAAAGTGCTTTATCTACATGAACCACATCAGTACATCATAGGAACAAAAAGTTCTAGTCCTGGTGGGAGCTGGGGAGAGAAGATTCTCATCTTGGATACAAAATTTAGATTATTTACAATCTAAGTGAAACAAAGATTCAAGAGAAAAATTCTCTCTTGTCTTTTTTTCTCCTTTTTTTTTGTAAAAAATAAAAGTGCAGTCAAATAGAAAATAAACGCAGTAGATGCAAGCCGAGTTGAGGCAGGCTGTTAGTGATAGTGTGCAAACGTGTGTCTTAGCAGTTCATCTGCAAATGGTCGCAGCTTGGCCTCGATAAAAATCCGTTTCAGGAAATCCCGAGCATGGTCGGAGACATGAGGTGGTAGCTGGGGGTTGGTGGGCTGAGTGGCAATTTTAAAGATGGCAGCCATTGCTTCAAACTCTGCCCATGGTGGCTTCTCCGTTAGCATTTCTACCACTGTACAACCTACGCTCCTGAAACAGAGGCAGAAGTGAAACAGCAGGTTACAACAGAGTCATGCCCTTTTATGAAAACAAAGAAATAGCAGAACGCGACTAAAATGCCCCAGGTAAGTAGTGTCCACTTAACTCTACAGAGCAGCTTCAGTGGAAAACAGCTCTAAAAAACCTGCATGTAATAGCTGTATGCTCTATCTTAAAGTTACACACATCACTACCTACATCTTCACTTTATTACTTCACTGGGCAAAAAGCTACTATGTCAAGGAAGAGGTAATCAGGTATTTATCTAGGCAATACCAACTGTGTTATGGCACTGCACTATTCAGTGCTCAGCAGGTTGATACAGGCCACCAGTGCTGCACAACCTGTGTGTCCCAGCTCTTCAGACGCCTGCAGGATTTGGATGCACTTGAAAGCTTTCGTTCTCTTTAAGGCCTTACGGAAATGCAAAGCAACAGGAATGCTTTGAGTATCCTGTACATATTGCTAGCTCCTTAAAAATACATGAGTAATGTGCAAACATAACATGGCACTTCAAAAGTTGAAAATCATACTTCAGTGGTACCTTCCTCTGCTAGTTAAGGATACTACAAATACACTTAAATTGCCAAACAAAATGTTAAGATCCTAAACAATCTTTGTATACAAAGCTTATGTTTAAAGGATTTAGGAAGGCAGAAAGATATGCATGTGGCCAGAAAATTTTTGTTCTGTAAGTCCTGCAAGAGCAGCCTCTACCAATAACAAGCAAATGATACTGCAAAATGGACAGCTGGAATAATTTCCCGTTTTTCATGAAGTTTTATGTTTTACTAATATGTTTGCAAGAAATTTATGGTTAGACAGAGGCACATTTATTTACACAATAGGATTTACTGACTGTCTGAAGTCAAACTTCAGTATTTTTTCTTAGTTTTAATGAGAATTTTCTCCATCACAAAAGCATCTATTAAGCTTGGTACAAATACTTCAATGTTGAACAAGCCAACTGCCTGAAATCTGTAAGGCTGTTCTAATAGTAATTATTCTGCTATACTTGAATAAGTGATCTGAAGTAGGCTAAATTAATTTCCCTGATATTTAAAGTATTGCCATTGGTTGGATAAAATACTTTTTTAAACAAAGTATTACTACTGCATCTCTACTGTTGCCTACCCATTATTCTGTGTGTTCACAGATCACCTGCAGTGCAAGGAATCTAATCACTAAAATCATCTGTCCACTGGGCTGGACCTATGCTAGACTATGTCATATTACACAGTGTATCACAGGCATTCATTTTTTAAAATTACCTTTCCCTCTTAATTCTTAAGTATTTAATAACAACTTAAACCAAATTATTTTTTGATACTTCCCATTTAAATCTGGTAAATTCATTCTTATGTGCTCACTTTTTAAAGGACCTGCATTTCATTTTCTGTCTTGCATCAAAGGTATTTCATTGATGAAATTTCATTACAGGACACTGACTTAACTGCTGCTTCAAAGCTTCCCATTTTGCTATCACCCAGTACCTCTCCAGGACCCACAGTCTGGTAATCCTAACTTCATGCAGGACTGGTCCAAAGGATAATTTTATGTTGTTCAAATTGATGGGCCAAGAAACTGCCAAATGAAAAATTCCCAAATTTCAGTGTTACACTCTCCAAATATCCTATGACACTAAGTGCTCATACTTGCCACCTTCTTCATCTCAAATCCCAGCACAAAACACTCCAACTTCAGATAACAAACACCGACACACTCGAAGTGACCATTCTGAAATAACCTTCAGAAGAAAATTATCTCCTTTTTAACATACCAGATGTCTGCTTTTCTGCCGTACCCTTCTCCACTAATAACTTCTGGACTCATCCAGTATGGAGTTCCTGTGACAGACTTCATTCCTGTGCCAGAGAGACAGATAGTCTGCAGTCGTTTGCTGGCACCAAAGTCACCGAGCTTCACATTGCCTGCTGAATCTCGCAGAATATTTGCTCCTGGAAGGAAGAGAATACAGTGTTACATTCATGAAAGGCACATTAGCATTTCAGTCTGGGAAATGGTAGCAAAAGTTTTGATGCAGTGATACAACGCAAGATCAGCCTAGTATTTCAAACCAGAGAATTTACATTCTCTGCTCATTTCTATTACTCTATTCCAAGGTTCAGAAAATAACTGTACACACAGGTTTGCATCCTAGGCCTTTTCTGGGAAGTACCAGTCACTTTATAAAGCCTTCCTGACAAAATAAGGAATGTGTTGTACAAGGGAAATAAAAAGAAACAGGAAAGAAATCTCACAACTGAAAACATCTTCATTCTACATTAAAGCAAAACCTCAGGCTGTCTCAGAGGTTTTTTCAGAACACTTATGTACATAAGTATGTACAAACTGACAATGACAACTCAACTTTTTTTGGAACACAACACTATTGATAGAAAGCAACAGGAAAATTGTGAAAGTTTTAGGGAATACCACAACATTGTGCTCAATGCACCTATTTGGCACATCACCATCTCTCTACATATTTATAAATTTGCTTATACAAGCCGTCTTGTACCTATCTATCTGCAGAAAGTAAAAATGTCTGTTTCCTCAGGTTTCCTGTCAGTAAATAGAAGAAGTCCAAGTCATTTGACCAGGCAAGTCACCTCTGCAGTCATTTCTTGTACCAGCGAAATGTTTGGTAACTTCTATATAATAGATGAAACAAAACGCTGTAAAAATAAGCTTTCAAATCATGATGCTTTCCTCTGCACATTCCATTTGCAATGACATCCTTGGGTATGTTCAAAACTATTAATATTAAAACTAGAAAGAAATCTGTTATGATTGTTTTGCAGACAGACGCCACAGAAGCATTGCCAGAAGTCTGCTAGAACATCACAAAGATGCTTATATTCTCCCCTTCAGGATACAACAGTGAACAAGAATAAATGATAGAAAGCAACCTTATTGATTTTAAGTCAGTATTTTGGCATTTCAAACTTACACATTTTAGTGCTTCACACAAAACTGGTACAGAATCTGTAGCACAGAGCACTGAACTGTGCACAGAACTATCATTACCTTTAATATCCCGATGGACAATCATATTACTGTGCAAATAGTGAACTCCTTCCAAAATCTGCCGCGTATATTTACGAGTCACATTCTCTGTGAGTGCTCCATATGATTTCAGTTGGTCTTTAATGGAACCCTATGGCAAACAAAAAGTATAAACCACTAACATTTCTAGAATCACAAGTGGGCTGATACTGTGGCTGAACTTCAATAAAATTTATGCCTGAAATGCAGACACTTAAAGTTGCAGTACTTATCTAGACTGGCTTATAAGCACAGCTAAAGTTTTATCTCTAGTGAGAAAAATACACACTTTGACAAAAAAAAAAAAGGCTGGACAGAGAATTCATATACTGAAATGCTAACCTATTAGCTTTAAAACTGTCAAGCAGCTGAATAGTTCCAGTACGATGTACAGAAAAAGAACAGTACTTTCACTTAAACACCACTCTAATTTTTTGATGGTTAAATGATGATGCTCAATTTGAACAGAACACACACCATTCACTCTGGTTAGTTTATACTCGGGCAAAAAAAAGATTGTCAAAAATACCAAATGCTGGAAGATGGTGCTGTATGTAAAAATTAAAAAGAAATTCTTGACTTAAAAAAAAATGAAATAAAAAATTAATGTTTTTGTAACAGTTTTGTATAACTTGGCTTTGTTACACAGTTACAAACTGTGTAACAGTCCTCCAAATCTCAGAAAATTACTTCTGTGACAGTCCTCCAAATCTCAGAAAAATTCAACAAGGCCCCTCCTAAGAGTGCAGAACTCACCTAAAAAACTCCAAAAAAGAAACAAGTAAAGAAAACTCCAACTCACTCCCCCCACTGCCACTGTTCTTCCGTGGAGTGTCACAGCAAAGTAAATGCTGTAACTCTGCAGAAATAGAGCCTGTGTTTTTATACAAGCACATTTTATTTAGCTCTGCTGACCCCACCTAGTGAGAAAATGAAAATCTACAGTTTTCTGACCTTAGTTTCTTAACAAAACAGTAGAAGAATCATCCAACTGTACCTGAATGCCCCACAGAAAGCAAGCACCAAGATTATTTTCTGTATGCACTTATTCCCACACCCATCTCAGCTGCTTTAGGTGGTTTTTTTTTGTTTTTTGTTTTTTTGTTTTAAATAACTGAGCCCTTCACATGGTGACTTTGCAACAGCACAAGCTGATGCACAGCAAGCAGGAACATTAAAATTCAGGAAGATTTGTGAGTTCATTAATGATAACACTGTTTTTCAAAGATGTTGCAAGGCACATCTTATGCCAAAATCAAACGCAAAGAATTTTTGTACAAATCAATCTAACTCTGAACCCCCCCAAAAAGCAATAGATAATGTCAGCTGCTGCAAGCTCTTGCCAGCACCCATCTTTGGGTACTGTTTTTCACTTGGACATTTCTTTAATATCTATGTGCACTACTGCAAAAGCTGTCTACTTGGGTGCTTGTCATACTGCATAGTAATGATGGCTGAAGTGAACAGTCTCTCTTGCTTACCCCAGGCATATATTCCATGAATATAGAGAGTGTTCTTTCTGGTGGATCTCTCAAGAAGCCATAATACTGAACAATTCTTTCATGCAGCAGATTTTTCAGCAACTGAATTTCACATTCAAGTGCATTTACTTCCTAAAAGGAAAAATCAGACAAAATTTACCATGTTTGACATAGGAATAGTAGTGTTTTGGATTTGTGGGTTTGTTTTGTTTTTTTTTTTTTAAGCATGACTGGATGTTTATGCAAGCTAAGAAAAAAATGTCTTGTAGCTTATGTAAATTTTATACATCTTATAGTAAGAAAATGTAACTGTTAGATTGAAGGAAATAAAAACTATGGCTTTTCTATAAACTGACTTTAAGATGATTTTGGTGTTACACCAGTGTTTTTCTGGTTTTGAAGCTACATTTGTTTCAGAGCATAGCAGGTACCACTATGTGCATGAAGTGATCATTATGCAAAACGTCACAATCCTCCAAGTGGGTACAAAAAAAAATAAAAATCTTTATACCTTTGTAATGCAATAATTAGCATTAATTCTTGACTTTTCCAGGATGACAGACTATGCTTTAAGAACACCTTTAAAGACCACTTAGCATTGTGATAATGACATGCAACAAAGAACGACATCAACACATACAGTGCTTTCCCTAGAGCTATCCGAAATATTAAAACTTTGCAAACAGAAAGATATGTGAAATGGCCTGTGTATTAAGATGCTGGAAAAACACTAACCCATGAATTCAATCTCGACTGGATTCCAAATTTCACCTATAAGTCTTTCACCAAAACTTACTTTATATCTATCACAGACTATTACTGATATCCTTGCTCTTTTGAGGTTAGAAGAAAAACATTTTTTGATACCAAAAGGGACATATTACAAAATGCTATGACAACAGAGGTCACAAAACTGTTGCTACAGGACAGACTACAGTATTTTATATTTAACACTTCAAAGCATAATCAGTGTTTCTGCTACATTTTAAAGAAGTAGCAGCAACAACTAGAATCTACAGCACAAATGATTCTTGTCTTTTTTTCATTGATCCTACATCACTAGTAGCAGCAACTACAACTAGTAGCTATTCAGTTCTGCAATCATGCTTACACCCATTGTTTCCCTGGCCTTGCTCCCCACAGTGCAGAATGCAGTCCTAATGCAGGAAGTTAGTAATTCTTTTTCCATCCTGTTGAAAGCAGCAAGTACAGTTTAGGAAAAAAGACAGAGAAGATCAGTGCTACTTTAAAATAGCTTCTTTCCTCAAGTGTCCAGTATTTAAAGAAGGACCAGTTTCATTTTATAGCGAAATAAACTGTCAACGAAACTTTTGCTCTTCAAGAAGAAATACAGCAAGTAACAGTAACTTCCCCTGATGCCCAAGGTTCAAAAAAACCCAAACAAAAACCCAAGCAAAAAAAGCAATCAAAAAATTCCTCCCAAAAGATATAAATTTCAAACTGTCTTCAAAGCCAAACAAAATATCCTTGAGAATTTATTTTTGGGATTTATTTTACTTAAATTAGTACAGATTTTTCTGCTTCTGAGTAGAACTGGTTCCAATTCCTGTACGTATAAATAATTCCCTATTTCAGAGCACACTTGATAATAATTGTTTAGTTCTAAAGGCTGAGACTATACCAAATTAAGATACGTATGTTTACTGTATAAAGGATATGTCTGAAAACAAAACCAAAAAAAAAAAAATGGGATGCAACATTAAAATCAGCTAACCAAACTAATTCCTTAAAGTACTTACAAAACAGGATTACTGACAGACATGAAAACACATCATGTTTTAAAACATCAGGCTGTTCAAGAACAGTAACATCAGTCTAGTTTAGAACACACCACTTCAACAGAAGCTCTTTGCAAACTCTCTTTGGTATCGCTTACCTTGCTGGTTTCTGGACTGTCAGGATCAAACAGAACTTGCTTAACAGCCAGTTCTCTTCCGGTATCAGCATCATAACACAGATATACTCTGCCAAATGCACCTTGACCCAGCAGCTTACCAAGTCTCCAGTTAGTTGGAGCTCGTGGTGCTGAAAATATAAGTATGTTTTTGTTTTCAAATGAGCCTGTTATTCAGCTGATCGAGAAAAACTGAAATACATAGAAAATAGTTTTTTAAAAGACTACATTTTCAACAACAGAAACTACGTGTCCTAAAACTTCCCAGTTAAGTTAAATATCAATAAAACTTCCTGTAAGATGGAAAACACAAGCTACTTAAATTTATTCACAAAATACCTTGTGGTAGAGACAGACATACTTAAAACGGAAAAGCATGTTAAATAACTTAGAAACAATTTAAAAAGAATTGAGGCATGATTAAAATGTACCAGCTACTGAAGTCATCAAAAAGTAAATTTGCTCCTGAAATGCCACCACAGGTATAAAGCAGTACCACTTAAGTCCTACAGTTTATCAGAAGATGTGAACAACATCTGCAATAATGAATGGTGACTACAATTTAGATAACCCTGCTCAGGTCCTCAAGAGTCTAACAAATCATCAGAAATGTTTTACAGTGTTTTGTTATTACAGATGCAATTTCCATGTGAAAATCTGCATGAAGATTGGCACAGTAAGCAACGAAAAAACTGCTGAGCATACAGTCTTAACTTTTCCCTATTAGAGAGACAAAACCATTATTCAATTATACATATTTTGATGACACACTTAGTTTTGACATTATATACTTGAAAGGTAAGAGAGCTTTACAGTGGAGTTCACAAAATGCTTTAACTTACAGCGACTGGGTGGGCTGATGTCCATTACTGACAAGGTAGGATTGTCTATATCACTTCCTCTCCTCCTCATTCGATTATCTTCATATTCTGGTGTAAAGACGCTGCTTCCGCTACTGGTGCTCAGTGAGTGATCAGTGGGACTGAAACTAACTGGTGATCGGAAGCTATTCCCCTGAGTCCTTCTGGCTCTTGGAAAAGTTTTACGACCTTCAGTGATATACAAAGAATACTAATATTACACTACAAAAAACACTGCTATGCAATATGTGTATGCAATATTTTATGAATTCCACATAATGTAGTTCAGATCTTCTGCAGCATATTATATTAAACAGGGGAAGTTTAAGTTAGATATAAGGAGGAAGTTCTTTACTGTGAGGGTGGTGAGGCACTGGAACAGGTTGCCCAAGGAAGTGATAAATGCTCCATCCCTAGCAGAGTTCAAGGCCAGGCTGGAAGAAGTCTTGGGTGACATGGTTTGTGTGTGGTGTCCCTGCCCATGACAGGGGATTGGACCTAGATGATCTTAAGGTCCTTTCCAACCCTAAATATTCTATGATTCCATGATGTAATGATCATGAAATTTACTGGTTTAACTGTCCACCTAGACAAAAACAAACATTCACCACAGATGTATCTAAGAATTAGACTGAAACAAGAACTGGTTTACATTTAAGTGACTGAAATTAGGACCAAATTCTGGAACTGTTCTGAAACATCATCAATGTGCTTCAGAAACCAAGAGGGCTGTGAGAGGAAAAAGGAACATGCCCTGCCTCTACTTCTATTGCTTTATTAAGACATAAAACTCTCTTGATAAATAGGAGAGAGAGGTATTTCAGTGGTGCCCAGGCTGGCATCTTCATCCTGTAAGCTAGAAAGAACTGAATGCAGAGAAAGACCTACACATGGAATCAACAGTAAGACCATACATATATATATGTATAGAAATCACAAACAATGCATAATTCAGAGATAGCTACAGCATTAGAACAAAACAAAACAAAAAAGGGGGGGGGGCATTGATCTTCTAAAATGATAATTACAACCAGATATATTAACATGACTTGTGTTAGTTATTTGGATAACACTAACAGTTTTAGGTTAGCATGGCCTGATGAAATTTCATCCTGCAGAACTCAAAAATAGCTGAAGTAGTCTCTGATTCATTAGGTATTACATTGGAGAAGATGTTCCCAGGGGAACTGAAGAAGGCAGATAAAATATCTTTAAAAAATAGACGAAGACTTATATACTAGTCTGGCAGATTTAAATTCCAAGAAAGATATGCAAACAAATTAAGCAGTTTTATAAACCACTGAGAAGATAAGGTGATAAACCAGCCATAATTCGTTTGTCATATATAGCTAATCCAATTTCCCTATTTCATTGGTACATTCTCATAAGCTAACCAGTAAAGTTTTGCATAGACCAAATTACTATGTAGAGTATATCCAAGACATTCAGAGCAGTTATTTCTCAGAGAGGGAGATAATTTAAGTGGACACCCACAGCAGTTTACCTTCAGTCCACTTCCATATGCTATTTTAACTGATGATATATATATGACAAACACGATACATTGAAATATTGCAGATGACATCAAGTGAGGTGTGGCTGGAAGTCTACTTAAAGATAAAAATCAAAATTTATGATGATGTTAGTAAATTGGAGATGATTCAGAAATCCACAAGATGAAATTCAGTAAGGCAGTACAACATAGATAAAAAGAGAAATCAAATACAGAAACCACAAAGTATAAAGTAATTGGTTGGTTAAAAGTCATGCAGAAAAGGAAAAGGAACAAAATAAAAGGATATAGGATCTATAATGGACCAGAGACTGAACAGCAGTCAGTATGCTGGCTATGAAAAAAAGTTAAGTATCATTCTGGAATGTAATAACATGACTGTTACATACTGAGTTATATTCTATGTTATACATAAACTGGCCATGAGAAAAGCCTCAGCTACAGCAGTCTACCAGGTTTTGGCCACTACAAGGATCGAGAAGGGGAAGGGGTGTGTGCCACAAAGGTCAAAAGCTTATACTGGATGACTTGTTCTCTATCTTTGGGCATGCGCATTTTGATAGCTGTGCATGAGTCATGAATTCTGTAACCTGTAACTTTACCAGAGGTTAAGTCTGCTCAGGAGCTCTACCAGTCATTAGAATTTGAGCAAGTGAGTCTGGGGAAAGAATTAATCTTTAATTTCTCCAATTTTTTTATGCATTAAGATTTTACAATCTTAAGAGATTGAGAAAACATATTAATAAAGTAGAACTCCTACAATATTAACACTTACCATCATTGTAGTCTTGCTGATTATATGAAATATGGTATCTTCGGGGATAAGTTCCCCCCTTTCCAAATTTCTCAAATATTGGAATATCATACTCTACTAGAAAATTAAAAGATATATTTCAAAATTTTAAATGTGACAAAAGCATGTTAATCAGTTTGGTATAATAAACTAAAACATAGTGGAACATCTGAGAGGATTTTTTCAAGATCAGTATCAGAGAAAAAAAAACTGCAGAACAAAAGCCACAAATCTAAAAAAATCCCAAGAAATTATAATGACATTCAGCCAAAAGTTCTAAAGGATCAAAAATTCAACAGATCAAGTGGTTTCGCACCTCTTGCTTGAAAGAATTTAGAGGACTGCAGCATGCCTAATTGCTCTGGTTTAAAAAACAGTTTCTAGAGGAAAACTGGTAGAAGCCATTACAAGGAATAAAATTTGAATATGCATAAACATGAATAATTGGTGAGAAAGTCAACAAAGCTTGAATTATGAAAAATAGCTCAATAGGTCCTCTTAAAAAAAATATTGAAGGAGAAAAACATTCATAAGATGAAGGGTAAAGTCCCTCATGCATAAATAATTGGTTTGAAGATAAGCCTGAAAGATGGGAGTGAATTGTCAACAGTTCTATTGGAACTGTTGCACAAGAATCTTGGCTACAATTCGCACTATTTAATTATGCATCAATTCTCTGGACAGAACAATGAATATTGAGGTGACAAAATCATTTGGAGCCAACAGAAGAATTACAGAAAGCCCTTAAGAGTCTATCTGATTTGATGTTAAAATGGCAGATGAACTTCAATGTAGGCTAGTGTAAAGGGGATTTTGTTTTTTTTTTTGTGATAGAGTTAAAATAAAGCAGCTGCTGAATTCCCTGTACTGGCTAAGAAGCAAATTAAATGCTATAAATCATTAAGATACACTGAACGAAGTTTTGATCCACTCCATTTCAAAGGATTTAGTAAAACTGGAAAAGATTTAGAAGTACAGAGATGATCAAAGATACAAAATTGCTGCTCCATAAGAAATGTTGGCTTCTATAGACTAGAAAAGGAGACAAAGTCTATTATAAAAAAATCACAAGGGGCATACTTCTTCATAAAATGCAGTAAGTTGCACAACTTCTTGTCACAACATACTGTTGAGACTGAAGAAGTTTATACAAGTTGAAACAGAGACTTGAAAAATCGGGGGGGGGGGGGGGGGGGAATCCATCGAATCACAGAAGAGTCTCTTCCATTTACAGAACCCTTAAACTATACATGACCAGGAATATATTCTGAGGAAGGAATACGACACGCTTCTCTACAGAAACCTGGTACTGGTTGTGGCAGGAGGAAGAACTAGGCCAGATAGATATTTTTTTGACTCTGTATACTATTCTGCTTTTGTTTCGTATCAAATCATGAGAATAAATGTTGAACTAATGAGCACTATCTATCCCATTGTTAATATACCAGATTATCTCATAAGTAACTGTAATAAACACAAAAACTAGATTAACAAAGGCAAACTAATTTGCCATTATTAACTTTATTGGTATTTATCTCTGGCATCTAAATGCCTCTTTTACATAGTTTTGCTTTTATTTTCATTTAAAAGTGGTGCAATCTCTTAAGCACGCTAGAATCCCTAAAAGAAAAAACACACCATCACAAAGTTACCTGGATAAAGCTTCATAAACAAAATATGAAGACAACAGAGTACAGAATGGACCAAACCCCACAACACACCCCAGATTCACTGGAAGCTAATTACTGTTCAACAGCAAAATTCTGTAGCAAAGCATGTCCATGAGAGACACTTCACAGCACTTTTGGGGTTACCCATTGCACTTCATATCCTGAACCATGCACAACAACTTGGACTCGAGCCAGAGTATCATATGAAAACAGTATTAGTAGTGATGATTAATTTATAGGCACAGCACACAGTTCTCCATCTTATCACTTTGCAGTGCTTTCAATTACAGAAGTCATGAACACTTTAAAGTGATCCTGATTTCACGCAGGAGAAAATTAAGACTCCATGTACTGGTTTTGGCTGGATAGTTTTATTTTTAGTATATTATATGGTGCTATGTTTTGGATTTCTGGCCAAACCAGCACTGATAACAGAGATATTTTAGTTATTGCTGAACCATGTTTACACAGCATCAAGCCTTCTTTTATTTGTTGGCTTCTCACACCACCCCACCAGTTAGCAGGCTGGGGGTGCACAAGAAGTTGGGAAGGGACAACTGAGACAGCTGACCCCGGCTGAGCCAAGGGATATTCCATACCACATGAGGTTGTGCTCAGCAATAAAAGCTGGGAGAAAGAAGCACGAAGGGGGCATATGTTCAGAGTCATGGTGTTTGCCTTCCCAAGCAACCATTACGTGTAATGAAGTTTAGCCATTTCCAGGAAAGCAGGACATCTGTCTGCCAACGGGAAATGGTGACTGAATTCTTTGTTTTGTTTTGCTTGCATGCACAGCCTTTGCCTTCCCTATTAAGTTGCCTTTATCTAAACCCACAAGTTTTCTCACTTTCACCCTTCCAATTCTCTCCCTTATCCCACTGCAGGGGAGAGAGCATGCAGCTGTGTGGTGCTTAGCTCCCTACTGGGGTTAAACCACAACACTTCAAAATTAAATAAGTTACCCAAGGTTATATGCAAACTTCAACATGGATATTACAGTCCAGTTTAACAACTGTTGTGTGCCCCACTGCATCATTTGTTCTTTTCAGAGAAGCACACAGTTAATATTTCGCACTCTAACAGTGGTATTACACATAATCTAGAAAAAAAAAAAAACATTTGGAAGATATTATATTTCATCATATATTTTACTCTGTGTGTTGGGATTGGATTCTGTGACTTTGTTTTCTCCTACCATATTAAGTTTGTGTAATACAATACTTCTCAGTGTGAACTTCCCTTCTAAGCCCTTATTTGCAAGAAGAATAATTCTAGATAGTATATTCAGTGATTTTTGCCTACCTGAGAACTCCTGATGATTATCTGGATAGCTCTGTGCTCTTGGCATCCGAGATTTGGGATAGTTGTCTCTGGAAGCGTAAAAACACACGGTATCTAAAAAATGTTAATCTGGTACTTGATTTTATCTTACTGTTTCAAAGTTCTTTATGACTGATGAAAAATTACTGTTATACAAGTTGCTGCCCTGGTTTGCAAATGTGGAACCCAATTTTGAGAATAAAATCTAATAGGTATCAATAACAATTCAAGATCAGTAACAATGGAAAAGTTTGCTTGATGAGCTTAATGTAGTAAGAAAGCAACAGATTGTTAATGAGCAATGGTATTAGTAAAAACATGAATTATCACAAGCAAAGCCACAAAGGAGCACTGTAGTGTTTAACACCTTTATGGCTAAACGCAAAGTTTTATAGACTGGCAAAATGTCTTACATAGCCTACAAAAACTCTTGAGGAAATCGAAACAAAGAAATGTAGAACCTTTTAATGTCTCAAAATAGTTCCTTTTCTTTCCATGGAATTCATAGGATTAAGAGAGTAATTTTATTGAGTTATAGAATGATGAAGAATTTTTTGGCTCTTATACGATCATATCGTTTCTTACCTACAGCTGGTATGTAACTCCCAGCCACCAAAAGGAATGGATGGGATTGCCAGTCAGAGCAACCGATAAATATACCAAAACAATGTCCTCCTTTCTCTGGCAAGAATTTCTCTAATGGGTAACAGAAGCTAAATGGAGACACAAAACCTACATCTTTGTAGGAAATACTTGAATAAAAAAAAAAAAAAAAAGAAGGAAAACAAACTAAGTAGAGGTGACAAAAGTAAATAATAAACAACAAAAAGAAGTTTTGGGGAAACAGGAGTTGAATTAAGATGGTTTTGTTTCCCCTTCTTGCACTCACCTTACCGCACAAAACCCTAAAAGTTTGGCAACTTGGTAGAATTGCTATGCTGTGTAGCTGCATCAAACACCCTGTGAGTATAACCTATCAAACTCTAATCACAAAATACTTTTTGCATGTATTGTTCTCTTACTTGTGAAATAAGGACTCGTTATTTAACTCAAAAATTTATTAGATTAAATGGATCTGTGTCCTCAGATCACATATCCTCAAATGAAATGTTACTATGCAATTGCCATAGGTAATGATTTCCAACTTTTTATCTATCAATTAAATATTTAATTAGCAGTATTATTTGTATAGCAGTTCCAAATAAAGAGGAGCAAATCTGCTCAACGTAAGACCCAATTATTATTTGTCTGACTAACCATAAGCGCAACAGGAGTATGTTTTGTTTGGCTTACCTGGTGGCTGAGAAACTGTGGACAGTACCTAAGAAATTAAAAGCTGATGGGGTGGCTCACTGCCATGGAATATGATTCACATATATATAAAATGGGCGAAATTGAGTAAAAACCTTCAGTACATTTTTGTAGGATTTGAAGTCTAAATTTCTGTGTTTGAAATACAATTTATTAAAAAAACCAAATAATTCTATTTTCCATGTATTAGTAAGCAATTAAGTTTCAATGAGCTTTTATCAATGTTCTGTAACTTGCAGAAGAGTTTCTGGAAGAAGTTCAGTAAAAGCTGTCACTGGAGAGTTATTACATGTTACAACAGATACATTATGCAATCTAATCAAGATGAATAATGAATGCAAGTAACTTTTACCCATCTAAAGGGCTGTCAAGTGAGGGACAGCTTCCCGAGCCAGAGTTTTCAGGACTGCTCAAAGACAGTGGATCCAGCATCTAATAAATAACAAACAGAGAAAGACCAGCAAGTTCAAGTTGTTTGCATTTGGGTTGGGTTTGTTGTTTTTGTTTGTGTGTTGGTTGGTTTTAAATGAAGGTTTCTGCTTTAAAACACTTAACAAACCAGAAAAATTAATTACTAAAGTTAGCTGCCATAGTTGAACCTGCACTGCATTCTGCAATCCTGAAAGGACTCTTTCATTCTTCTCACTTCTAAATAAAATTTAGTTAAGGTATTTCATCTTCTATCATGCTTTGTACATAAGCTGTACTGCTACATTCTTCCTGAACACACCACTGTCTTTTAATATTATGGCAACATCTGCATAAGGGTAGCTAAACAGAGTAACAAAAGTAAGTCCTTTAAAGGATAAAAAGCTGAGACTGTTAAAAAAAAAATAATGTCAAAGAAAAAAAAGAAAAAAGAATCTCAAACGTGACAGATTGTGAGCTTACAATTTATATAGTTTCTGTAATGGCTCAAACTTTGCCAACTAGGAGTCACAGAAACCAGCTGAAATCAAATACTCTAAAATGCTGTTAAACATTTATCTCTAGTTAGGACTCCAACTGAGTTACTTCTAAATAGAACTGAAGAGAAAATTGAAGGAGAAAGAGGAAGAATTCATAAAATACATAAACACTCTCCCTTTTCCAAATAAACTAAACTTTCATGTAAAACTAGAGTTTACAAAAACATCAAAGACATATTATTTCCCTCCCAAACACATCTGATGACCTAGTAATCAATGTTCATGAGCTGTATGAAACCTGCCAGGTATCAGTCTGAAGAAGCCAAACCTATCTAGGCCAGATCCATTACATAATGAAAACAAAACTTGGCTTCTTAAACTCTAATCCAGAGAAAAAGAAATTTATTATCAAGAGCATACTCTTGTTTACCAGCCATTGCTATGGCTGACATCTATTTTATCTCACACTACCTGTGCTAAGTTTAATGACAAACATCACTCTCTTCTCTTTTGCAGTAAAGCAATCTGAAATGTTTCACAGATTCATTTTTCCGAAGTGAAAACAGAATCTAAATTTTGAACTATTAAATGTGACAATTTTACCTTTTCAGAAACAGAGAGGAAAGCTCATCTGTTGTCTTAAAATGAGTTGCTTCCTAAAATAAAGTTTCCTTTGGCTATTATATAAGATCTATTATTTTCTGTGAATTGGACACCAGTATTTTGCTGTAAATTGAACAGTTACCCTCCAATTTCTATGGTCTGTGCTGCATCTTAAAAGTCCTGGGCACATACTTTGCCAAGCACCAATCAACGACATCAACAATGCAGTATGTTCCAACTAGCAGACCATGACCCACTTTAACCCATCATCTCTTCTGCAGAGAAAGTGTGAGGTAGGCTGTCAGAGTGTGAATAGCTGGGCTCATGCAGATCAACAGGAAAGCAGAGCAAAGCCCTCCACTCAAAAATTCCCTTCTTGTCTTTGTAAGGCAGGCTGTGACAGATGTAGACAGAATGGTCAACACTTGCCAATGTGATTTGGCAACTTAAGGGAAAGGAAGCAAACCAAGGTTGTGAGTTTGTAACACCCCAATCTGGCCCTTGAGGCTTCTTAGGTTGAACTATCCTGGCTTCCTATGAAAGTAACATTCCTGTATTTAAATACTGCTGACAGCTTACACAGCCATGCATACATGCCAGGCTGTAACCTTGAATATTCTGGAGTAAAAGGACACCCTGGGCCTCAGAGATCATCTGTCTGTCTGACCAGTGACCAAAAATTACTTTGCCCAGGCCAAAAGCAATCATTCCACTGAATGATCTGGGCTGGATCTGACCACATGGATATGATAATGAATAGCACCCTGGTCTAGAAATTAGGAGATTCAGTCTATATTCCCAGCTCAGTCATTAAAATTGTGCAACAAATTGCACAGTCTCTCCCCCTCTATTTTTATTCTATCATCTGTGTCTCATTTAGTCAGCTCATAAAAACCATTGCCTGTTGCCATTTGTGAATACAGCGCCAATGTCAACAAGAACTTAATGTGATTTGGGTATGCAGCCTTATTTTTTCTTCCTCCTTAAATAACTTTTTCTCTATTGCCAGTTCTGTGAGCCATTACATTCCTCCATCTTTTCCTTGTGTTTTTAAGGGCAATTTTGATACTCAGAGAGCATTTTATTCATGCTAAGTGTGCTGATGAATCCCACACCAATAATGCAGGTGAATAAGAACAAAAAAGCATACAGTGATCCTCACACAAAAACATGACTGTGGAAATTATTTCAAAGGTTCTTGGCAGACCCATCTCCATCCCTTTGCCTCTACACCACCAGAGTATCAACCCAGATCCAAACTCTCCTTTAAAAACTCTTCTAATCACCTGGGAAAGTTGTACAACTTGTCTTGCTTACAGATACTTCTCATTAAAATAAAGGGGGTTGTGTTTTCTAATGTAGACATCTCTTGCTGTAATTTATATCATTACCTCACTCAACTACCATGGAAATGAAGAATATTATCTTTCTCCTTGTAGGAAAATATTTAAATAACTGAAGAGACTTACAGAGTTTAAAACAGGTTTTACGAGACTAAACCATAATTATTTTAACCTTTTCTCACAGATTATGTTCTAGGGTTATCACTTCTTACCTGTTTTTTTCCAACAATTCCACACCCTTCTTGAATAGCAGTATTTAGTAGATCAAAATAACAAAAACTTTAATTTTAATAAATCACATACACACCTGATCCATGCTTTCTGGAATGAATTCACCCTCACTGTTGATACTGGTGAAGGACCCATTTCGGGCCACCTGATGCAGCTCATCTGGAATGTATCCTGGGGGAGGTGAACTTCTGTCACGAGTATTAGAAACTTTTGAAAGAAAAGGGCTAGTTAGAGTCTCTTCAATAACCCAGAACCCAGGGGCTTTATTCAAATGCTTCATAGACACTGAGCCTGCCTGGCTCACTGCTTGCTTTAGAAATTTCCCAAATGCCTATGCAATACTTATATATAGCATTTAAAATCTGTAATCCAGGAATTATGAAAAGTATGGAGCAGGTTTGCCTCAATGCCTTTAAAAAGAATATTGGTTCTATAGGAACAGAAATATAATTTCCCTCCACATCCAGCTGTGTGCATTTCTTCTTTTGAAACAAAGTAAAGATCCAAACCCTTTCACCCATGTCAACTCATTCCTTCCAGCTCTTGAGAATTTCAATTTTTCCTTGTAGAATATTAGGTCTGCAAGAATATGAATACTTCTATTCATAATAAATGCATAATAAATTGTCTGAAAATTATTCATTAAACTCTCCAGTTTTATAATTAAATTTGGAAGTTAATATCACACCAGATTTTAAACATGAATAAACAAAAAGGTTATATCAATGCCAAAAGTATCTTAAAAAATGTTCACACATTAAGATGAAAAACATACAAGTCCTAAATTGAGCAAGGAAATTCACTGCCATATAAACTAACAGGCTCTTTTTTCAGAAACTCATTCCTGTTCCTGAAAATAAAAGGGAGTACTAACATCAACTTTTTGGGATACCCATCAGTTATCTTAAATAATTCTACATAGATTCATTTCCTTGGGATAAATATATATATATATATTTAAAACACCTTTGACTAAAAATTCAAAATCCACCTCCCCAACTACAACTCTATATTAGAATCACTGAGAAATTCAAATAGTTTGTGTTGACAGCAAGATCTTAATAAAGAGACTATTACAAAAAGAAAGGTTTTACAATTAAAGATATTGAAATATGTAGCTTACCTATTACAGACAATCGCCTTTTTCTGTCTGTCACAAACACTGTATTGTCTAAATCTTCCAGTGAGGGCAAGGGTTCGACATTATTTACACTGGGTGACTGAAAATGCATACATATTATAACCTGCAGCTATTACTTCATACTCCTAGCAATGAAAATACTCCACTAACTTTACAGACTTTGTGCAGCACATTCCTTTTTTTCAAGCAGTCAAAAAGCAGCTTGCCAATTTATATAAAAATTAATCTTTAGTAGCTCATTCTTAATATTTAAAAATCATTTTCACAATGTACTAGTATACAAACCCTATCAATACCATGGCCATGATGTGTTAGGTATTACCAAAATAACTCAGTATTTAGCCCATACTCCACTACTACTGTTTGCTACAGCAAACATTTAACTTGCCACAAAGGAGCATCAACAACATAGGATTTAAGGAACAGCTTCAAGTAACTACAATTACTTAAATTCTATGTGCTTCTCAAACTTGTATCACATCATCATCCTATTAAGGAACACTTTTCTAACTATGTAGGAAAGGCAAACAAATACAGAGGAAGGAATAGGATCTAGGAATAAGTTAAAACCGAGTCAATATAAAACACTAAGATACTTGAAGTGCACTGAAGAAACAATCAGTAATACTTTCAATTAGAAAAATGTCATTTTGAAGAAAAAAAATACAAATTTCTATATGAAAAAAAAATTTCTATATGAGAACTGAGGAAAAAGACATTTAGCACATCAACTCATACCTGTGTATTTCCATGTATTACAAGCAATATCTTGAGACTCTTCATATGAACGCTACGGTCAAGCAGTTCAACAGCTTTGTCCAGGTCATCCTGTGTGGTTAACGGAATTACAAGCTACAAAAATGGGAAAAAAAACCAAAAAAAGTCTTAAACAAGACAAGATCTTAAACAAGGATACAAGAAAAAAAAAATCAGGAAGTGCAGAGAAACTAATAAACTGATTCTACCTTTCCTTTCATTCAAGAGAACTTGAAAGGAAAATGTATTAAATGATGCCCCAAGTTAGCACCAAAATATCTGAAGTTTAACCTTAACTCTTCCTTCTGATGCCTTCAATAGCACAGCATGGTGGAACAAACATTCACAATGAAAGAACAACCATTTTACATATGCACAACTTAATATCCTACAACTTTCACAGAAACATGTGCAACAGTGTCAATGTATCTGCCATTGCCTAAATTAATGCAAGTCTAAAATAAAGAAAGATCTATTTTGCAGGGCATAAAGTACATTTTTGTATACAGGTTTGAAGTTGCATCACTAAGAATTTCTCCATTGAAAAAAAACAGAGTTTTTAAGGAATTCTATCAGGCATGATGTGATTCACATGGAACAACTGTAGTCCTCACAAAAATCTTACCTGAATCTAATTAATAAGAATTAACTTGGCACACATGTATCTTTAGAACAGAAAATGTTATGTTGTTAAAGCACACTTGAGTTCTGTAACAATTAAAATTTGGCTTATGTTTCAGGAGTGTAAGTTATAATTTCTACTTGTTGGAACAAAAGAACAAGGCAATGTAGTTTTATAGTCTCAATGTTGCTCAAACACAACATCAACTGAAATACAGTATTTTTATACAAAAAAGAAATGGGAATGGGGGATGGTCTTCATAACATACATACACTCTTCATTTTAAGTTGCAGTTTTAATGATAATGACAGGTAATTAGCATCACATTTCTGAAAGGTTATAGGATTATTTGCCAACTAGTGTAGAAGTTGACATGCAGAAAACCTGCTTAAATGCCTCAAAACCTATCAGAGGAAGGAGCCGAGGTTAAAGTATCATGAATGGCCTTTTCTTCTGACCAACCTAATCTCCAAAAGCCTTCTGCTGCAATTCTTCATTTTGAGCATCAGTTTCACAGAAGTGCCTGGTAAGGTACTGAATAACCAACAAACAGCAATTACAGGCATTTTCTTCTGCAAAGATGCAGACCAGATGCACCAATTAAGTTGTGCATAACCAAGCACACATAACCCTCCATGCACTTTGCTGACTCAATTCAAAAACCAGAAGTAACTCCTAAGAATGGATCCTGCATCTGCAAATGTATTTCCCATTACTGATTCCATCTCTACTTCTAAAGGAAAGCTGGAAGTAATATTGATCAGGCATAAGTGGCTTAATGGCACTGGAACTGTTGCCAAGAAATATTTATGAACCAGCTACTTTAAGAGGAGCAACAATTAAGCCTAGTTCTCCAATCTATACATTACTAAATGCAGCATTCTAGCAATTACTGAACAAGATTAAACCTTAAAGAAAAAAAAAAACACAAAACTATACAAGAAAGGATAAATGTTATTTCAAGTTTACAAACATGACAAAGCTCAAAGCAATAAAGACTTTTCCAAAGTGATGAAACAGGACTGTAGCAGAGCAGGAAGACAATTTATCCATTCCCAATCAAGTCTGAGAGGTAATTCACTAAGATATAACTCTTCTCATAAAACATTTCATGCATCTCCTGTTCATCCTAATTTAGACAAGCCTTACATATTTGAGAATACACACATTAGGAATCTGGGGTTTTTGTCATGGGAGTGGTTCTCACTGCTTACGTGAGGAAATTTCAGCCTTAAAATAATCAATGTACAAGCTGCTGAGAACTTACAAGACACAGAATATTACCTCATTATTGCTGTAATGTAAATCCATAGTCTGTCCAAAGGCAACTTTAGCTTTAGCTGCAAGATCTTCAAGTCTAACAGGCCGTGGTAATTGCAGGATCCTGAAACACAGTTCAAGTTGTAAAGAATTTTTGTCTGTTACTTATGAAAATCTGACACCTCATTACTCAAGAATGAAGTCAAAATTGAATTTATTACTGGGAAGACCATAAGAGGCTATGCTTTTATTCACTGACCTCCATATTTTGAGTTATTTTAAAAAGGAGAGTAAAGCAGTGAGAAAGTTATAGGGGTAATCACACATAAAATTAGATCTCACTATGACTATTTTACTTGCTTGAAAATGGCTTCTTTCTTAACCTAATGCTTTGCCTGCCTCCATTTCAGAGGCAAATTCTTAGAAACCTCTAAAACTTTTTACACTTCAGAAAACTAAGACAATGAGTACCACAGACTGGCAAGCCTAAGTATCAGAAAATAATTACTCCTATGGTCCCCATTTTTGGGAAATTCAAAAGAGTATCTTATGTGAGGAAGGTAACTGAATGTCACCATTTTCACCATAATGAATTACATGCTTGAACTGCTGAGTCCACCACCATCTGTGCTTCAAGTGTGTTTCTGTACAAATGGGGCAGTTGTAGGTCAACAATTCAGATTTTTTTATAACTCAATGTCTCACAAAATACATAACCTAAAATGCCTGTAACTGGCCTTTACTATAGAAAACTCTTGTATTATTTGAGACACACCACCATTAAAGAAAAAACACTTTTAGAAGTGACTAACCTAGTGAGGTACATTCAAAAAAGAAACAGCACTCCAATTTTGTGAAGCAGAAAAGCTTTCATCAGTGTTTCAGGTAGTACACTGGTTAGGGGACAGTATTTCTCCCTGAAGTAAAGCTAGAAGCCAGGCCACTTGCAATTAAAAAACCCTATTATTATTTTTCAAAATTATAATTTTGAAAAATTATTATTTTGAAAAAAACAGAACAACAAAAAAACCAAATAACCCACACCAAAACAAAAGAAAAAAAAACAAGAAAAACAAACAACCAACCACCAAAAACCGAAACTGCAAAACCAAACCTAAACCAAAATACCAAACCCCCCCACAAAAACCTTAAACCCCAAACAAACACCAGTTCACACTGTAGTTAATTTATTTAGCATGCCTGGAGCTCTGCCCATCATACCTCCCACTCCTTGGTACAGAGTGCCATGTTCACTAGTGAAACAAATTCTAGAATCACTTCTCTCTTCCATTTCCCTTTTCAAAACTAGTGAGAAAGCCATTGCATAACTTATTTTTCTTGCATAATTTCATTATTTTATCTTTAGATCTATATGTTCAGGCAACAGAGTACTACAAAGCATGCTGAGCAACGAGCCCCTGGGCAGCCAGGCTCAAATTACTTGGACACTCCAAACCAGAGCTAGGCCATCAGGATAAAAGCTTGGGAACGATATCTTCCTATACACTTACTTTATACTTGCATTCATATTGAATTGATTAATTTAGTCCACTGTGAAAGTGAATTAACAAACTTCAAGAATGTACTGTCTGTGCAGACTGGCAGTGAGTAACACTTCACTGGTTTATACTCATGCTACTGCTTACTTCACATGAATTACTAGATAAGAGTCCTCAATTTTCAAAGTTTTTGAAAAGACTTATTTTCTCCAAATTACTCATAGCACTCAACCATTACCAATGCACTGTTACATGTTATGTTCAAAAAAGTGATAGAAAGAAGCTGAAGAATGTTAATACCTAGGGAACTTAATGCTATTTTACTACCCCATGTAAAGACAGGGCACGTACTATAATCAGCATGTGATCTTTTGCACACTGAACTAGGGACTGCCCAGAAGCAGCATAGCATTCTGAAGCCATCCTAAGGAATTTACCATTTCCATTGAAAAATGGCATGACCAGGATATTATTTCCTGTTCAGTACACGTTTTCAAAGATCATATTCTATAACCACTTCTCTGTAGGTAGGTAGAAGATTTTATGCTTTCAGAAAGACACAGACAGAATGAGTTGCCCACAAATGAGCTTTGCACAGAATTGTAGATCAACTTCTGCAAAAGCTTTTGAGCAGCCAGCAAAGATATATATGGATGTTTGTATAATTTAAGCATGTACATCATTCACCTCCCATACACAAAATGAAAGTAAAAGCTGATTGTTCAAAATTATCAATGAAAACAATCTGAAGTCTATAAATTTTTCTATTACAGTTCTCAGACTGGTTTTTCCAAAGTACAATGCAATACTGGGCTTTAAGATATAGGCTTCTTATCCTGGGTGCTACAGTAACAATATATTATTGTGCATTTATTATGCACATGATGTAGCAAAAATATTTATTTGCTGGACTAGTCTTATTTGAAATCTATGCTAATGATCCAAGTGATTGTTCTAGGCTACAAACATCTATCTGAAGGGTAAACAAATAAAGGATATTACATGCAACAGCTACAGTAAGACATTTCTGCATTTATGTATACTTAGAGCCCACATTTTAAACAGATTCTCCTTAAATTGTGTTCATATCCAAATTAGACTTAAGCTCAAATTAAATACACTAAGAGATCTGAAACACTTTGCACAGTTTATTTAAAACTTTATAATAAGAACACAACAAAATTCTATAAATAATTAAAAGGCAAGATTGTTTCCTGTGGTACCACCTTACCTTTTTTCACCTCGATGTTCAAATTTGACTCTGACATCATTCTGTAAGAAGAGACAAAGAAACCACTACTAGTTAGTTACTACATCCTTTATCGAAGGTCATGAAATCACATTCAATAATCCTACATCACAAGTAAAATCCTTAAGCAGCCCATATTAATTTTCTGTCCTTTCTAATATAGCAAGCATTTTAACAAGCTACTTCTGCTGGGGTTTTCTGATAGAGGCTTAAAGTGCATAAGAAAAAAAATTCTGAAGTACAACAAATTCTTCTGAAAGTAAAACCATTATTTTCTACCAATATATTTTAGTAATATAACAGATTCATTATTTCAAATTCAGCATGGAACTGATTACCAAAGAATTACCTATCATGAACAGGCAGGTAGGTTCTACCATAACAGGTTTTTATGTACGCTTTAGAGCTGAGCCTTCCAGGCTTGAGAAACATATCTTGTTTCATAAGCATTACCATAGAAACCCACACATGTAATTAAGCCAGCATTCGTGCAATCAACCTCCCAGTAACAAAGATACCTGTAAATATCTGAAGTTACATGGAAATAAAATTGTTAAAAAAAAAAAAAAATCATAATTTTAAGAATCAAATTGTATTCACTATTGCAGGAAAAAAAAAACACAACCAAAAAAGCATTCAATCACAGAGATTATATCCAAATAACAATGTTGCATGTTCCAAAAGAATTAATCAATTCACAAGTGATTACATTCCAAATTCAAAAATTTAAATGACATACATGTATCTCCCTCTTACCACTACCACATTTAAACTCGGAAACGGATCAACTGTTTTTCTTCTAAATTTCTAAACAGTATTATGTTCAAATCACGTGGGATCAATATGCACGTCACTACACTGTTTAAAGTCACAGCTCAGAAGTGATTTAGATGACGTGAGCAAAGCACCATTGTGTTATATACTGAACTCATACAGCTTTTAAAGCACAGAATGAAAAAAAAAATAGCCATTGTTTTTTGACAGTTTAAGAGCTAAATATATTCAAATGCTCTGACCTTCAACAGGTTATAACAAGACTGCAAAAAGTGAAGTTTCATGAAATATTGGCCTGTCAATTAAATGACCAAATAAACATACAGGTAACTCAAAAGGGCTATTAGAATTTGGGTCAGAAAAATCTACATCCTCTCCTAATTTCTCTATATAACAGTTCAAACATATCAGCTAAGTATTTACCATTTTTCTATCTGTGTGCAGCATCTGCAGAAAAACAAATACAGCTGAAAAGAACTCACATTTTCAGTTTATGAGCAAATAAAAAAAAAAATCAAGGCCAAAGATACAGTAAATGAACGTATGTTTCTGCTGCTATACTGACGTTCTTTTTTTAAGAAAAATCTGACAACTGGGCAATCTAATACATATATAAAATTCATTCTAACAGTGCATTCCAAATAAGAGATACTAGAACACCTTGACCTTTTAAACAGTCCAATACCTATCAAAAAACGACAAATAAGCAATCTAATGTCAATAATGTCAAAATACTCCTATAATCTTCAATTTCTCAGGCTCAAATTAATTTAGGCAAACACTATGATCTGGTCTGAAATGCCACCATTTCATTTTGCTGCTAATTTAAAAACCAAAACAAAGAAAATGGCAGTACATGTGAGAGACTAATAGCTCATTCTGGTATGCTCACTGGTCGGACAAGAAAAATAATTATAGAAGTCAAAGCAGGACATTCCATGTTCAATAGGTTAGTAAAGGTATTGAAGATTACCTGTTTTTTAGGTGAAGATGACTTTGGTTTTCCTGTTTCTTGCTGGGGCAACACAGGACGACTGGCCTTATGAAGCACAGCCAAATCCTGCATGATTGAATTCAAAGCTTGCTGCTCATCTGCTCAGAGAAAGAGACCAGGTAAGAGAAGTGTAAATGACCGTTAAATCTGAAGTGCGTTACTGTCTCATCTCACAATCAGGCAAACGTTACACTAAAATCTAGAAGACTATATTACACTTTAATACATAATTGCCAAATTTAAAAAAATATACTGCCATGTTGCAAACATTTTAATTTTATTTATCATTAAAAAATGCTTAAGGAAGTAAACAGCTCAATTAGTAACCAGACTTACATGGCAGGTTTAAAAAACTGAAGTCAGAACAGATTGCTAACTGCAAAACTTCAGGCAGCATTTGTAAGAGAAGGGCAGGCAAGACAAAAAAAAAAAAAAAAGTTTTATCTCCTTTGTTTCGATGTCCACGGATCAGATGTAACTAGAAATCATGACCTGCCATCCCCCATTCATAAAATAAAAGCACGTACTTTTGAATCATTTTCTTCTTTACTGAACTGGTACTGTCATGCATGTAGGAACCATATACAAACTCCCAGAAGAGCTCCTCCTCTGTGCATGTGCTGACAGTTCATGATTTTAAAAAAACAAAACAAAACAAAAAAAAAAACAAAAAACAAGGAAAAAAGGGGGACAAAACCCCAACCCCAGAAAAAAAACCAAAACCAAACCAACCAATCAAATAAAACAAAAACCCAAAACTTCTCTAGGACTGCAAATATAGGCCTTTTTTGGTGGGCTAGGAAAAACAGGAGCACTGAACCCAGTGCTATATAGCTTAGATATCAAGTTCACACAAAATCATAAATCATATAATCATAGAATATCTCAACCTGGAAGGGACCCATAAGGATCAGAGTCCAACTCCTTGCTCCTTGCAGGAATAGCTAGCCTCTACGAGAGAAAAACCTGTTTTACCCAGTGCTGCTCTCATACTTAGGGGCCATACTGAACATAAGGCACTTCCTAAACAATACAGAGACACCATTCCAACCTGTGGAATAGCTCTCTCCAAACATCACCTTTATTCAATATATAATGCATAAATTTCTAGAGACCCTCAGCAACATTATACTCAGAACATCTGGTGAAAAAAAAAAACAAAACACAACTAAATGTGCAAGAATCCAGCCAACAACTTTCCCAGACTTTGCAAAAGTTACTACTACAAATCCTGCCACACAACAACCCCAGAAAGTTTCAGTCCTCTATCACGTAAGCTGCTTTTAGCAGGGTTGCAGCTATATGTCCTCCGGAGCTTCCTAGGACTTGATCTCCACAGTGTGTTTGGTCACACAGGTATCATGAAGATGGTGTTTGAAAAGCATGCTTAATTAATCTACAAAAGACCTGATTTACTATAAAATTCAAACAAAAAATGCCCTCACTTCTGAAAAGCAATTAAAACTACAGTAAAGCAAAGACACACAGGAATGCCTCTGTTCATCCATCTGCCCACCATTAAAATCTGCTGCATCTGTGATGGACTGAGGCCATGCTAGACATGGTTTGCCCTGGATACGGGATGCTCCTTTAGGAAAGCACTTAGAAGTTCAAAATCCTGTACATCCATCATTAAGAGAAATCTGTCACTAATACTTTATATTAATTCCTTGCCACAGCAAAGCTACCATACTCAACATGGATCTAGAACTCTGGATAACAAAATTTATCTACAAAAGGTGTTGATTGTATGCCTTCACACTACTTCCCAAAGGATGTGTTTGTTGAAGAATTCCTAAGCACTGTGATTTACAAAAAACAGTATTTCTCAAACATGGTCTTGAATAAAACTCGGCAAGCAAATATTTCAGGTATTCACCAATGATGAGAATTCCTTTACACACTATTCAAATATAACCAAATATTTCTATTATATCAGGAAATTGTGCAGTTCCAGCATCTAGTTTAATAGATTCCTAACAGATCAGAAAGCTGGTCTGAAAATTATTAACTTCAATCATCACTCATGCTGTCTTTACTCATAACTACTAAGATGTGAAATCTATTAAAGCAAGTCTATTTAGCAATATTTAATAGCAGAACTGAAGGCATTCTTGCAACTCAGTTATTCCTTTTTTACACTGAAATATATTCAAATCTTGCCACAATTAAAAGTTAAACTATTTTATGGTGTTACAGCCTATTCTAGTGCTGTTATTCCAGCAGTTGGTTGGAGGAGAGTGAATTTCCAGTGGTCGCTCAGTAGCATATTGCATACAAAGAAAATCAAAGAACCGTGGCAAAGCCTCTAAAGATTGCTGGATATCCAGTGTGACTCAGTAGCCATTTCTCTCCTACAAAATTTTGGAGAATATCAGAAATCTAAAGAGTGATGTATTCCTAGATTCAGCTACTTGATTTTTAAGCATGAGGTTAAGACAAATTAGTGTAACAATAACAGGTAAACACAGGCAATACCAGTAACCATGTTTTGGTTGGTTTGTTAGATTATAATAACACCGTCAACTCACTAGAAAGCACACACAACTTGAAAAATTAATACCAAATTTGAAGTAATATGAATATGCTACATATTTAGAAAAGCACAGACCATCTACACAGTCCTGCCTTTATACTGCAATGACACAAGGCAACACAATAAGATTCTTAATATAGAATTTGGCGGTGGTGGGGGGGTGGTGGTGGTGTTTGTTCCAAATAACCATTACCTTTTAAGAGCACAGTAGATATTGCCCAGTACCCTAATACCATGAATCTTATTTTACCTGAATTTTTAAGTTACCACACAGTGAGGGAAAAGTGCTATATTCCAATAGAAAAAACACAGAAGTATTATGAAAAGTTGAACACTGCCTTTCCCATACACATTGCATTGGGTTTCACAGCAAAAGCACATATTTCCTAGGAATGGTATTAATGGTTCTGGTCTTCAACAGAAATTAAAAGTGTCCAAATTAAATTTTTCCTACACATGACACACAAGACATACCCATAATGGCAGTGAGTCTGAAAACTTGAACTTCAGGGAAACTGTTGCTTCATTAGCATTATTCTATTTCCTAAAATGTAAAACCAAACACACAGTTATTGAAGTTGTCAAAGCAATGTAAAACAGTCAACTCTTCATTGCTTACAGTAAGGTTTTTTAATATCCCAGATATCAAACATGCATACTGTTGTGAATTAAGTTTTGCTAGCTGAATTTGTTTAACATGTATAAACTACAAATAAGATTGCATATGTAGATAGGACATACAGAGAAAACAGATATTGTCCCCAAAGCCTCACTGGGCTATCAGCAACATATACAGGCTTTCAGAAGACACAAAGCCCAAACTAAACATTCTTCTAGACTCAAGATGAACCTCCAAATGATGATTAATAGCTTAATTAGCCATAACAGTGCTACATGGGTTACTCACTAGTCCAGATTATAAAGAACCAATTCTTCTTCTACAGGTTCCTGTATCTGGTATACAAAGTTCTGTGTTTAGAAGTACATATATTTCGTATGTATTTATTTATATATATGAAACTCATAGTACAAATCAAGAATCATCAATACCTACTGACTGCATAAACTAGAAAACTTCAATTGGTAAGGTTTTTATAATGATAATGCAAGAGCATTACACAGATACCCCAACACCCCTGAAAGCAAATACCTCTGGAATAGAGAGGGTATTAACTTTTTGTATACAATATAGAAGTTATCCAGAAAATCAGAAACACAGGGAACATATTTATGAACAAACCCTGTCTGTCACAATATCTTGAACACCAGCCAATTAAAAAAAAAAAAACAAACACAATAATTAAGGGCCAATTAAAATAATCTTTCAATGAGATTCTATTACGGCGCTTAAGAGCAGAAAACTAAACACATACCCCTAAATAAACAATGAGGTTTGTTGTAATCCTGACTACCACAGGAAGAATCAGAATTTTTAATCCAAGATCATGGAAGGTAACTCTTCAATTTTTTAAGCAGTCACTGTGACCAAGTAGGGAGAGTCTATTTCCCTCTCCCTCTTCTCGGCTGCACTGGACTATTCATCCTTCTGACTCAGAGAAGAAAAATCTACCCTGCTCTGATAACACAGATGATTTCCCTGCAAGTTCATTCAAGAAGCTAAACCAACAGAATGACCCTTTTTTGTGTGTTTTCCCATGGTTTAGTTCCTTGCCAGTGTCATATGACCCATGACACCAACACAGGACCACCTTTGGGAGCACATGCTGAGAACAGAGGGGAGGCAGGCAGCTTTTTCAGCACCATTCAGTCAGGCTTACTTGCTTTAATATTCTGCTAATTTTCTAGCTAATAACAAATTAGTTACAATTTTCCAAAGGATTTCTGAGGATCTTCATTTAGGCATCTAAGAGTTTCTGGCACCATCTCTCTTACATAGTGATTTCATGAAAACAGCCTTTTCAAGCAATATTTATTTCATCAGTGGAACTAGAAAGCTTTAAGTACTTCTGGCATATTTTTCAGAAAGAAATTTGGACTTCAGAGGCATAAAAAAAAGTCTTTCCTATATACTGCTTTTTAGCTACATATCAGAGGACTCATCTACTATTGAGTATTTCAAGCTCCAAGTAGAGATCATGCTTTCAAAGAAGATTCAGAGGTCCCACTCTACAATCAGAAATCAGTTCAGTTGAGAGTGCATGCAAGAGAGCACATTAGAACTAAAAGCTGAAAATATGATTCAAGCATATTCCAAGTTACATACTCCCAAGTACATCAAGCACCTCAAAACAGTACCTGAAATAGCTTCCAAGTGTTGTGGGGAAGAAACTCCCCTCTAATACTTTGTAAAGTATTGTAAGCCCGCAAGAGTGAGTTTAGTACATCTGGCCTGAGCTGCCCACAGTCTCAAGACAACCCCAACTTTTGCTGCTAACATGATCCCCAGCTTCGTGGTGCCACCACAGCAGGAGTCAGAAATGTCAATTAAAAAAAAAACAACAACAAACAAGCAAACAAACAAAACCAACAAAAAAAAAAAAAACAAAACCACACAACAAAAAGCAAGCTGCTATGGTACACAAGATTCCAGGAAATCCGACTTACTTTGCAAACTGGGATTACCTTTAAAGTCTTAAATACCACTAATGTTTTTCCCCACATCTGATTCTTTGCATGTTTTTCATCCCCAAGAGTCAAAAAGGTAAACCAGAACAGATGTTCAGTTATTTCCTATGCCATGTTTTTTGTATCAGCAGTCCTCTTGGAGGATCTTCCAAAGAATTATTCACTAAAGTCCCTATAAAACACATATTTAATTCTGTACTGGATCCAACTGTCTTAGAATGTGAGATAGTGCAATTTTATAAAATGCATGATTTAATGAGCTGTGTTACTACATTAATCATAAAATGTGTTTCACGGCTTTGGATTAATTACTCTGTAACACTTCCTTGTAAGCATTTCAGAGAAATACATAAGTTCTGTAAGACATTTTAAAACTTCCGCCACACTTTAAGAAAGTTAAAAGAAGTTGTATCTCCAAACAAAAATACCCTAAATGTTCTTCCTTAACCTAGCTGAAATAACCATATGTGGAAGCTCAAGATATTTGAGCTACACGGGTCATAAAGGGCAGGCAAGTTGAAGAAGAAACATAGAATCATAGAATAGTTAAGGCTGGAAAGGACCTTAAGATCATCTAGTTAAAACAGCCCTACCATGGGGGCAGGGACACCTCACACTAAACCATCTCACCCAGACATCTTAGGAAAAATCTTCTGCAAGTTCCTCCAGCTAAAAGAATTCATTCTTGGAATCACAGAATAGTTAGGGTTGGAAAGGACCTTAAGATCATCTAGTTCCAGCCCCCTGCCATGGGCAGGGACACCTCACACTAAACCATATCACCCAAGGCCTCGTCCAACCTGGTCTTGAACACTGCCAGGGATGGAGCATTCACAGTTTCCCTGGGCAACCCATTCCAATGCCTCACCACCCTTACAGGAAAGAATTTCCTTCTTATATCCAGTCTAAACTTCCCCTGTTTAAGTTTTAACCCGTTACCCCTTGTCCTATCACTACGGTCCCTAATGAATAGTCCATCCCAAGCATTCCTATAGTCCCCCTTCAGATACTGGAAGGCTGCTATGAGGTCTCCACGCAGCTTTCTCCAGGCTGAACAGCCCCAACTTTCTCAGCCTGTCTTCATACAGGAGGTGCTCCAGTCCCCTGATCATACTCATGGGCCTCCTCTGGACTTGTTCCAACAGTTCCATGTCCTTTTTATGTTGAGGACACCAGAACTGCACACAATACTCCAGGTGAGGTCTCACAAGAGCAGAGTAGAGGGGCAGGATCACCTCCTTTGACCTGCTGGTCACACTCCTTTTGATGCAGCCCAGGATAAGGTTGGCTTTCTGGGCTGCAAGCGCACACTGCCGGCTCATGTTCATTTTCTCATCGACCAGCACCCCCAAGTTGTTCTCTGCAGGGCTGCTCTGAATCTCATCTTTGCCCAACCTGTAGCTGTGCCTGGGATTGCTCCGACCCAGGTGTAAGACCTTGCACTTGGCATGGTTAAACTTCATCTGTGGCATCTCTCATTAGAAGAACATAAACTAATGAGTGAGCATCTATCTCTTATCCCTTCTACTTCCTTCTTACAATAATTAAAAAAAAAAAAAGAGAGCAAAAAACTAGAAAAACTGAAATTACATTTCTCTGTGTACCTCAGGGACTTCTCACTTTATCATCCCTTTTGATCAAAATTCTTTCTATCCAAACAAAGTATAATTAATCACCAACTAAACTCCTTAGCAAACTTTTTGTTAGCATTTAGTGTGACTCCAAAAACAAGCTAATAACATTAAAATGATTCTGGTTTTAACTGCTCATTTTTGCAATGGACTGTAACAACAGAGTGGTGGTGGGGAGAGAGCTAAAAAAGGAAGCTGCCAAAAATATTTTTTTTCTTTAAACAAAAAAATATTCATTCAGTAGAAAGGGAAAAAAGCATACCCTAAGCTATGGTTACAAAGGAGCATTAGCAAAACACACAGCAAAGTAGATGACAATCTAGAACAAAAAGAAAGCAAAACAGAAAACTGGAGCTCAGGGAAAGACTCTGGAGAAGAAAAGGCAGCAAAATACGAGAGCAGATGCAAAGGTAGAATAAGATTATGTCTAGGTCTCGCAGAGATGCAAGCAGCTTGAATTTGAATGTAATTAAAGAAAGGATGACAGACAGTGAATTTCAAAAAGGTGATGATGTGATAACAGTAGCAAACAAAGAAGAATATCCTAGCAACAGCATTTTGGATATAAGGGTGGAGAGATGTTGATTTATATTCATGATTCACTTCCCATCAGCCACCTTCCACAGAGACTGGAAGTCTTTCAGAATGTGTGAAAGCTGCTGATGGAAGAAAACATCCAGGTGATTCTTGGAAATTGTTTTTAGCTATCTCATGACAAATGAAAAAAAGCCTGAAGGTAATTAAGTCATGCAGATGATAATCCAATTGTTCAGACACTCTGTGCTGATTGTCCATATGTATACAACTTTCCCTGTAATAAACACAACAGGGTTAAGCTGCCTCTCGGTAACTGATTAGATTAAAGCACACAACACCAGCATAAATGTTCCATCATCTCTCATGACTGGCTTGGTCACATTCAGAAAATTTGTAGGCTAGAAACAAACGAAAAAATAAAATAAGAAAGCTTTACCCTCACACAGCAGAGGAAGGTAGCAAGCAGATACTCTATGAGACGCGTATTTATTAAGTAAGCTAGAAAGGGTGTTTTAGTTCTGTGAATATGGAGCCATACAGTGTGCAGAAATTAAATGGTCTCTATGGCATCCAATTTCATAACATAAGTGCAATTTTTAAAGAGTAAATTTAGCTATGGCTACAATAAGAGCCATTAACTAATCATATGAGAACAGTAAAGGTAGTATCTAAAAGAACTTAAGAACATAAGGCTATGCTATGTTAAAAACTGAGAAAAAAAATACAGTGAAGTAAGCAATCTAATATAGCCTGATTTTGTAGGGAACTCAGACTTCTACAGTAACACTTT